TAGTAAATTAATAGTAAATTAGTTATAATTTTATAATAACTCATCAATAATTTAGTGATAAATCATCAACAATGATTGGTAAATGATTCATAATTTAATGAAAAATAATTTATAAATTAGTAGCAAATCATTCATAAATTAATAACACATCATTGATAGCTTAAGAGTAAATAATTGATAATTTAATTGTCAATTACTAATAACTTTTATTATACTTAAAGTTGTCATGGATTAAACCATGGGTACTAGCAAAAATGAAGTCAAAACATTCATTTTATGGATTAGGATACACCTATCATGGACATATTCAATAAAAAAATTAGTGAAAAATTATAATTTTGAATAAAATAATGAAGTTATTATATAAAAAAATTACCTCGTATATTATTGATAGACTTTTAAATTTCTTATTTCATAGATGTAAATACATAAAAACATATTATTAAATTAATAAAATATTAATAAAAAATAAATGATAACTTAGTAGTTAATAATTGATAATTTAATAATAAATCGATGATAACTTAATAGTAAATTAGTAATAATTTAATAGTAGATCAGTTTTAATTTAATAGTAATTAATTAATAAATTTAGTAATAAATTATAAATAATTTAATAATAAACCAATAATAATTTAGTAGTTAATCATTGAAAATTTAAAAATAAATCAATATAACTTAATATTTAATCATCGATAACTTAATAATTAATAGATAATAATTTAATAGTTAATCATTGTTAATTTAATATAAATCAATGATACCTTGATAATAAATTATGACTAATTTTGTAATAAATTTGTGATTATTTTGTAGTAAACAATTGAAAACTAAATAGTAAATAAATAATAATATAGTAGTAAATATATAATGATATAATAGTAAATCATTGATAATTTAGATGTAAATTATTGATAATTTAGTAGTAAATCATTAATAATTTAGTTGTAAATAAGTGATAATTTAGTAGTAAATTAGCTAATTATTGATAATTTTGTAGTAAATTATTTATAAATTAATAGCAAATCAGTTATAATTTTATAATAAATCATTAGTAACTTAGAAGTAAATCATCAATAATTTAATATTAAATCAGTTATAACTTAGTATCATTTATAAATAGGTAGTAAATTAATGTTAATTTAATAGTAAATTACTAATAATTTAATAGTAAATTGCTAATAACCATAATTGTTAATTTTGTTTTGATACTGGCTGGTATACACTAGTTATATCAAAATACGATACACCTAAAGATGATTTTTTATACCAAATTTAATATTGGGTAACACTAGTTATTTTCGTTAGTTTCTCCTGGTTTTGGTGAATTTCGATGAATTAACATGTTTTGGCTAATATATGAATATGAAATATCTATTATAATTTTTAACTTATCTTTTGTTGTTTAACTATTTTTAACCAAATAAAAATAAAATTAATTGACAAAATAACCCTTGAAAATTGAGTTTTTTTTTTTATTGTAATTTGCTTTCTTTTATATTTTATTTTTTCGAACCAAAGTTTATAATTTTATATTTTATTTTTTCAAACCAAAGTTTATAAGTATTTCAATCTCTTTTAAGAAAGCAATTATGCACTTTTTTATAAAGTTTAACAATAATAAAACTTTGATTACTTTTTTCATCTATTTATTTTTATCTAAATATTTACATAAAAAATTTATTTAATTATCACATGATCAGATTAAATGTTTAAAAATATCATGAAAATTTTATGATATTATTTTTTGTACTTTTAAACTTATTTATTTGATTTTTAAAGATATTGCATATTTATTTTGTAGATTATTAATAGTATTATACTGTATAAGCTCATGCATGTTTATAAATATATTTGTACCAAATCAAAAAATCCAAACTAATATGTCAAAACAATTGGTACCAATATATATCATATTTTTGTAGAAAGTCGAAACGTTATTCGGTACGATATTAACAATTTTACTGATAATATAATAGTAAATCAATAATAATTTAATTATCAATCATTGATAACATTTTTTAAAAACTTGAAGTTATCAGGAATTGAATATTGGTTACTAGCAAAAACAAAGTTAAAAATTTTATCTTGAGAGATTAAGATAAACTTATCATAAACCTATTTAGTGAAAAAAAATTTAAAATTGAATGAAAAAAATAATATTATTGTATAAAAAAATTATCTTATACTAGAATTTAACCTGTACTTTCTTACAAAAATCTATTATTAAATATATGAGGAAATACTTTTATTAATAATTACTAAAAATATATCATAAGCTATCAAAATATTACTGAAATTATATCAACAGATTACTAAAAGTTTATCAAAAATTTCCAAAATTGTATCAATAGTTACCAAAAATATATAAAAAGTTACTAAAATTTTATCAAAAAAAAATTATATAAAAAAAATAAAAAATTACTTACATTATACCAAAATCAAAATTAAATTATTAGTATTTATTGTTATTATCATAATATTAAAAAGATTATTTATTGTAATGAATTAAAAAAAAAATTACACATACATAGACACGTGCCAAAAACTAATACGATGATATGTCACAATTCACAACCAAAACAAGAATGAATTTTGCGTGAAAGAGCTTGAAATAGTAAATAAATGTTGTAATATAGATGGAAGCTCTAAGAACATGCCTGAGTGCTTCAATTTCTCAGCCATTTGTCATCATCTGATGACGATATAAGGAAGGTGAAAGGCATTTTCTTGAAGGAAATTACCTGTCAATGTCTAGCTTGACTCCATCCCAGCGTAATCTTCTTGATTCTTCTCCTTTTGAGTGCCATTGGCCAGTCGGTCACCTTCTGCCTTCTAGATTTTTCTTTTTTTTCTAGTTGGTTATGTTCCCGACGAATGGATTATTTTTTTTTTTTTGAAGTATAGTGTCTTTTTTCTTAAAAAAAAGGGGTTAATATTATAAATTATTAATAAATTATAATAAAATATTTAATGTGATTTTTAAATTTTAAAAATATTTATTATAATATTTAAATTATAAATTTATTAATAAATATAATACTAATTTTTTATATGATTAATTTTAAATAATGAAATATGACGTTTAAATAATTCTCTAATTATTATATTAATTAATAAATTTATAGTTTAAATATTATTTTAAAAATTTTTAAAATTTAAATATTATATTAAATATTTCATATAATTTAAAGTTTATCGGTAAAATTAATCCTAAATAAATAATGAATCAAGCGTTTAATTTATCTGGATTCTTGAATCTTCTAACACAGCAGGCATCCATGATGGCCACTTCATATATTACAGGAATCAACTTGTGTCCATTGCTATAAAAATCTACTCAATTCTTTGCCTGTGCTTGAGCACTTCAGTTTCCATGCCAGTGCTCGATCTTTAATGCTCCATCCTCGATCATTTTTTGAATGACTCCAAAGGATACATGAAGTTTTACATTCAATTTACGAAATATTATTTATTTTGATCGATAAATTTTATGATTTTATTTTATAAAAAAAAAATTTATAAATTTAAATTTAAATATATATATATTCATAATAAAATTTCATATTATCATGATATAAAATTAGAGTATCACAAATTTTTTTCATTAAAGCTTAATGTTCCTATTAAGCTTAATACAAATCACATCCAATATTGGATACGTCCAACGTGTAACACTTAACTTACGTAAGATTTTAAGAATGGTTCCCACTAGTGTAGCATTTAACTCCCGTCGATTAGTGATCACTTTAATATTATTTATGGAGATTCATACCTAACATGTGAGGTATTATCCGTTTTGATTCAAAAATCTTATGATTTTATTCTATAAAAAAATACCTTACAAGTTTAGATTTAAGCATCAATTTAAATATCATAATAAATTTTAATACAAAACACACAAATTCACTTAATCACATCAAATATTGGGGATGTCTAACGTGCAACACTTAGCTCATGTAAAATTTTAGAGATAGCTTATATCATGTAACATTTAACTTTCGTTCGACTGGTGATTGTTTTAATATTATTTGTGGACATCTGCATAAAACTTGTGAGATATTGTTCGTTTTGATTTAAAATTCTCATAATTTTATTTTATAAAAAATATCTCATAAATTTAGATTTAAACATTAATTTAAATATCATAATAAATTCTTAAAATATTTCAGGGATTAAGGCATCATAATATGAAAATTCAGACATGCCCAAGGATGGCAAACTAGAACCCTCTATCTCAGCAGGAGCTGATTGCTTTTGTCATCAGGGTCGACAATTTCATTGTCAATGAAATTTGAATTCCTGAACTCATTGCGAGTTAATAGTACTAGATTGATTTTGAAAGTGTCCTCAGTCATTGGGCAAGCATTTTACATATGATTACTTATTATATTATTTCATTGAAAAAATTTTCTGGTTATGCGACTCTGTCTATGCCTTTATGTAATGCTTTCCTTTTCTTGGTAGCATTTGATTTCATTGGATCAAGTTTCCAAGCCAGCTCTTTTCAATTTTACTATAACCTAATACTGGAAAAATTATGCAATACTCCTATTCACAAAAGCAAAAATTTTGATTTTTTAAAATTATTATTTATTAATAGTTTATACTTATCATTGTTAATTCAAAACTATTAAAATTTCATGATTAAATAGATAAAAATTTATTATCAAGGGTCAGTAACGTTTTGGTTCGAATCCTTAATAAAAATTAAAAAGAAAAAGAATGAATTTTTATTATTACACTCATGAAGAGGGCTTAAATGAATACTTTAGTTATCTAATATTAAAATTTCTCCTTACATGTTTATTTTAAATTATATTTTTTTTATTAAAAAAATTATTCAAATAAAAATTTATAAATATTGAAATTTAAATTCTAAATTTAATATCAAATAAAAAAATTAATTGTATAATTAAATTAAATTACGTGGTAAGAAAATATATCTATTGACATGTGCCATTTTCTCCTAACCCTAGGACTATTAAACCCCAAACCCTCCAAGGCAAAAATAATAGGTTTAAACATTTTGAACTGAAAAAAAGGAAAAAAAAAAAAAAACTCAAAGTACTGCACATGATGGGTAGCAGCTGGGGGAGAAGAGTGGGAAATGTGAGATCATTCATGGGAAATTTAATGGGAGGCCTCAGAGGATCAAGCAATCTGGCTTCTTGGGTTGTTGCTGGAACTCTCGCTTATTTCCTTTGGGTGAAACCCTCTCGGGATCTCCAAAAACAGCAACAGGTTTCTTCCCAATTTCCCAACCAAACTTTTTCCCTTTTTGTTTTTGTTTAAAACTAAATTTCATGATTGATCTTGTAGGAAAGGGTAGCTCTTGCAGGTTCAGATCCTTATCGCTATGTAGAGAAACGAAAACCAATTCCTGATCCTCAGGTGTTTGACTTATTGCTTTCTTTTCATTTTTTTCTTTTCTCTCAAATATATATATTTAAAAAATAATTTTGGGCTTTTCCTGTGAATGCATGGTAGGAGACGGGATTGATATACGGCAACAAGAAGAAATCTGATAGTAAAACAGAGGAATAATGTGTTATACAACTAGTTCGTAAGTTTGGGTTTCAATAAGTTTCCAAAAGCTGTTAGAATTTGGAATTGAATGATGATTTTGGGTTAAATGCTCAACTTAGGATTTAAATTTTGAATAATTTCAATTAAGGATCATACATTTTATTTTAGATTAAGATAAAATGTTTTCCATATTCTTTAAATAAAGATTTTTTTACTAACGGAATGAGTTAAGTGAACAACACTCGCCGTTAAATAGAATGATATTTAGTTTGCATGTAGTATTTGTTAAGAATTTTTTTCTAACTGAAATGGAATGAGATAAGTGAATAACACTCGCCGTTAAATAGAATGATATTTAGTTTGCATGTCATATTTGTTAAGAATTTTTCTAACAGAATGAGATAAGTGAATAAAATAGAATGCCATATTTAATTAAATAGAATGATATTTAATTTGTATGTCATATTTGTTGAGGCAGCAAATAAAAATATTATTTATTGGTGATGTGTCATTTTTTCTTTTCTCTCTTTAATTTCTTTCCCTTCTCTAACAGTTAGATCACTATTCATCTCTACCAAAATTATCATGTTCAACATTATAGGGAGCTTTCATCTTTGCTGCTGCCGCCATGCTAGTAGGAACCGTCGTTGGCAATGGCATTTCTTCCTCTTTTCTCCTCTTCCTTGAGCAAAAACCCCAAAACGAAACCTAATTGGCATGTCTGTCTAAAAATCCATCTCTTACTCCATGCCAATTAAAAGACCCAAAAAAGAAGTTAGGAATTACTAGAAAACAACTATCATACTGGAAAAATGCAAGGAATGAGTGGTTGCAAACAACTAGGAATTATCAGAAAAATACCTAAAAATGGACTTGTTATGCATGCTATCATACTTTTTCTGGTGACCTTCTTGTTTGTGATGATATTCGCTTTGAGACCAATGCAAAACAATGGTGTTGGTGGCAACAACAGTCTATTTCAAACGCCATTTATACCAGCTCCACCTACTGCTTAATCATAGGTTGCAATGACTAGTTATTGACTAGTGTTAGTTATGTAGTACTTTTGTTTGAGTTTTGGGGTTTTTGCATTGTCCTCTTTCCTTAGATTGGTTTAATGAATCTATCATAGAGATGAAAGTTTGATGGGCTGAGACTTTTGGGGAGTTTTTTGCATTTTCCTTTTTCTTCCTTTACCCCGTAAAAGGGCTTTGATTGTGACTTATGCGTGTTTTTACTCATGTTTATCACCATCATCCCCACCAATTAACCGTTGTGGCCTTAGCATTTTCTCATTTTTATCCTGACTATTACCGACGCATTAGAGATGACTTGGTCTATGTCCATTAAAAAGGAAAATGAAAAAAAAAAAAAAACCGAAAAAGTGTTAAATAAAATGTCTTGAATGGGAATTTATTGGATCTTTAAAAGGAAAACTTTGTGAATTTCAATGTGAGTAATGATATGGATTATGGATCATTCAAATAGATATTCCTTGCTCAAGTTGATTTGTATATCATATATATATATATGTATATATCACAATATATCATAAGACTTGTGATAAGAGAATAGAATTCTACTAGGATATGCTTGTAAAATGGAAAAGATTACAATTCCTTCTGGAAAAAAACTATTTGTTGAGTTGGAAAAAAACTATTTGCTGAGATGGAAATAAAGATATCAAATTCCTACCAAGATAACTAGAAGTTCCAACTAATAAAAACCCTACTGAACCAAAAAAAAAAAAAATTATTAGGGCCCAGAAATTGCTTGTTTTTCAGGTCCCATTATAAATTCTATCGTATAATTCTGATCTTCAACTCATACATAGTAGATCTATTTGCATTTTATTGGAATTGAGAGAATAACCAAAATGTTTTGACTTTACTTTTTTTATTTCCAAAGTCTTAGCAACTAGTACTATTTTGAAATGAACTTTTAGAAATAATTCATCAAATTGCTTAGATCTAAAATCATCTTTTTTATATGATCCTCTATACAGATCTATTAGATATATAAACTTTAATTTCATACATTCATATAGTATCAATCTACTTGCTATAATTCATTTACCCCTATATCATGTTTACGTATGCATGAGTGGAGTTTTTTTTATTTATGTTCGAAGTTAATCTTTTTCATGAATTTTATCCAAATGGGTTTTAAAGCTTTCTTTTAAAAGAAAAAGGTTACATTTTTATAAGTTGAACAAGTAAATTTGACTTTCTTTTTTGCCATGTAAGCAGTCAAATTTAATTATTTTCCCAAGCCAGTTGTCAGATTTATTTTTTTTGCTAACTATGTTATATTTTGCCAACTTAACCATGTGTGTCTTTTATAATCTTATTTTGATTTGAAAAGATCCTAAATTGTAATAAGTCGATAACTTTAATTCTTATTCATATAAAAAAATACGTTTAGTCCTGAATTGAGGAATCATGTTTAAATTGAGCATTTAGCCGATAATTTTATAGTGTGTAGTGTCATGATCTCACAATAGGTAATTCAATATCACTGTACCTAAGGCACTTTTAGCATCCATTCCTTTCTACAAGTTGGAAATGTACTCATCTCAAAATTCCACCAGCATTTAGTCAATAAGAGTTTTTTAATACAATCCATAGCTTCTCCATGGCCCTTTCTCGTGTGGGGTGGGGGATTTGTGGTAGAGGTGGTGAACTGACAGGTTGGTTCTGATTGTTTCGAGCTCAAGTTATATCGCATTCAGATCATTTCAAGCTCTGACCAAATTGAGCTGTTTTTGGGTCATGTTATATCAACTTTTGGTCAGGTTTGTCTACATGCTCGGGTTAGAATGAAGTGGGTAACTAAAATTTACATATTTAATGAAGTTGGTAACTAAAATTTACATGTCTAGTATAATTTCGGGTTATTACGAGTTTTGATGGGATTGATCTTAGATTCGAGTTTTTTCAGGTTTTGGATCTTTAATTTTTTAGTCGATTGAGGTTTGGAATTTAAATTTAGATTTTTTCAAGTTCAGATTCATTCTATCTCCTCTAATTTGGGAGGCTTGATGTTAAGGTTTCATTTTTCAATTATCAACTGCATCTTTATCTTGTTAATCTTTCTCATTATCTCAATCTGTTCCTAAACTATAATAATATGCATGCGTACATGCTAAATGCTTCCCTTATTCAGGAAAACGCTATATATAGATACATGCCTAGATTTAGACAGTGACTTATAGTTGTAGTTTGGTTATGCTGCTGAGACTTGATGTCATCTACAATTATCTGTGCACTATGCATGTAGGTGAAAACTAAGGTGCGAGTTAGCTAGAACTGTTGTGGATATACATGCTTGAGCCGCTGAGAGAAATTTATTTATTTTTATTTTAGATGTATAGATCTCAAGATTTGAGTTGGCCTGTAAGTCTTGCTCAGCAACTACATAAAATTTTGCCTCAAAAATGGTTAAATTTGAAAGAGAATCGTTTATGTAGCTGAACCCAACGAATTCATGTATAGAGTAAGTTTAATATACAACTGTGAAATAGAAACTAAATCGGATGTTTTTAATGCACCATATTTGAGAAGCTGATTACAATTGTAGATTACACGATATAGAGTGCATTTATAAGTGCCCCTTCAGTGATGAACCCTAGTGTGGTGGGATTTATTCGCTCTGTGCTGTAGCCTCGTTTTGGGGGGCCGAAACACCACCGTCAGTGCAGATTCTCTCCACTTTTCTAACTAGCAAGTTTTCCTTGTCAATCTATCCTAACTTTCTGAGCCTGGTTTATTAAATGGAGTGTACCTTTCTGGCATTAGATGACAACTCAAAGAATCAAACTTCTTCTATAACGATTGTGGAATTTTTTGGAAAAAAAAATGAATAATTGGAATCAATGCAACCTCTATTATGGTTCCCTCAATTATCAAATCCCTCAATTATCGAAGTATAAAGTAAAGGAATAAATACAAAAAAGAGAATGAAATTCTGTCACTCTTCATCTTCAAGTCCAGGTATGTATTCCAAACTCACATCGAAAACGACTGGACTACTTGGAGCTACCCTTGGTCTCCCTGGAGCTGAAGATAGACCCTTTGGGAATGCCAGCTGACCCAGCAAAATTCATCAATCGAGGAATGTCAGGTCTAAGGGTAGTGATTTTGAATACACTTTGACATGAAACAGGAATCATTACTTGTTAGGGAGAGGGCAGTTTTCCTAAACTCTCTGATCTTGTCTACTTCTAAACTTAACTAAGCATGTATTATGAATTAATTTAGCCAAACTAAAGCACTCTGCTTTCAAGGAACAAAATATTCTTGCTTGAAATTTTTGATCTATAAACTAGCTTACCAGTCCTGGAATATAAAGTCTGCGCTTCCCTCCAACTTTCATGCTCAAGATGCCCTCATCAAGGCCCTTGATCACCTGTTCTACTCGTTAGATAAATAATTAGTAACGCTGAGGGCAGTGCAGGATCTTTACTTTATGATAAAATTCATTGAATTATGGCACTCTAGGCAAGAATGTGTATAATCAGAATCAATCATGAAACACTCCTAGAGGTTACCTGACCAGAGCCAACACGAAATATATAGGGCTGACCTTTCTCCAGTGAACTACATAATCATTGGAGAAGGGGGAGGGGGATTCCAATATCAGAACTCAGCTTATGCTTCAAAACACCAGACAGCTTAGGATGCAAACTTAACATGCTTACCTGTCAAATATTTGTCCGGAAGGAATCATGGCAACATAATTGGCAGCCACCTGAGATAAAATTGATGCCAAAGGCACAACAGACAGCTCAGGATTCATGTGCAACTACATACCAGAATGCTGGTAGACACTAAACCAGATAATGAAAATTGAAAAGATCAAAACACAGCTTGCTTAAGTAAGCACTGATGGATCTAAAGTAATGTTCTATTAGACATGGATTTCTTAATTTGACTACAAGTCAAGTTCAATTTTATTTTATTTTTTTATACAAAGGAGGCTATGTAGCCTACAGGATGGGTAAAGGGTTGCAAGTATTGGATATGAATCCCAAACTTGCTAGATGTCACCTCTCAAAAGTAGCTGGATGAACCTTTTGAGCTAAGCTTCAAATTCAAGTTCAATTTTAAAACTAGATCACCCTCTATTAAAGTGAAATCCTTTTATTAGAAACCTTCAGCGGTTCATACGAGGGCCAAATCTGATTCCAGGTTCTTCAAATAGCAGGAAAAGAGCCAGCTTGCACGAGAACAATTGACACACCTGAAAACCAACCGGAGGAGTGGGGCCTCCACCAACTTTAATATCCTTGTACTGTAAACCAGATTCTGTAGTTACCATAGGTACCTTCATCAAACACAAGCATTAAACATTAGCTACCAGTACCATCTGTGGAATTTAATCATCAAATGTTAAGCCAAAACTCTTGTCAGTTGAATTAAGATCCAATAGTTTAAGTTAAAACATTATCAGTTTATCATCACCACAGATTTTCTTTCATCTTCTGAGATTTGAACCTAGACTGGCTGAATGTCGTGTCCCTTCTTAAGTGGCTGCATGAACTCAGCTAAACTCCGGATTCAGCAAGGTTAGATTTCTTGATTAATATACCACTAATGTCTCACAGATGCAAAGAAAAAATCACACTTTTGATATAGTTAAATGAGTCAACTAGCTGCCAAAGGAAAGAGGAAAACATGAAGATAAGGGGGCTATGTAATCTCACCATACATTTTCAAGCTCTTTTTCACAGGCATCATCGCATAGTATCGGCTTTTCTGCAGGAGGCAAGCCAGCACCATTGGCATATGGTGAGTTCAACAAGATGCTTGAAGCTCCAAAAAGCAACCCTATCATATCCCTCCGCGTAACCAAATTCAGTCCATTGCTGTATTTTCTTGTCCTCTTGCAACTTAAGCACCTAACAATCGGAGCTTGAGCCCTGACGTTCGAGAGGACCAGATGACTGGCAGACAGACTCTTCCCAGATGCAGAACCTAACGCAGTTGCATTCAGTGTAAAATTCAAAAGCTGAACCACCCAAACAAGGTTGTAGGCTTGTATCAAAGATAAGTGATTTCTACCATGAAAGGCGGAAAACCCCCAAAAAAAAAACATAAAATTGAAAATCCTCCATTCTCATTTCGTCCTCTAAACTCATTGCACTCAGTGGAGAGTAAGTAGAAGAAAGTAAAAGAAAGAGTTGGTCTTACCGACGGGTAGCAGCAAATATGAAGGAGAAGAAGCCATGCTCGATGTTTCTGTGTTTGTGAAAGAGAGAAGTGAAGGGAGGATTTTCTTTGATGGTTTTCCGTGGATAACGAAATCTATGCTGCTGACTTGTCCGATAATACATTTTCTCCACTTATTATTTACCAGCAAGAAAAAAAAATAAATATTAGATAAATGACTTAACAAATATTTTATTTTTCAGTTTCAACTTTCAAAAAACTTGTAAATCTAAAAAAAAAAAATTGAAGCGACAAATTTGTTATATGTTTTTATATGTATATAAATTTTTTTTTTTTTTTTAAGAATCGTATTATTGTCACTAAACTAACCTGAGTTGCAGTCATTTATTACACAAATGCCATGGACAACCTATTTCGTCACGTGCAGCTTGCGGGCGTAGCGGTTCAAGTGATCAATCAGAATCCAGTTACGTACGGCAGTTTCAGTTTGTTTTTGCAGTTCAGTTGTTGCACTCCCTATAAAAAACCTTGTTTCCACTTTGACTGTCGCAGGAACATCCGCGAACAAATCCCTAAACTCAGGTTTTTTTTTTTCCTTTTTTATATCTTTTCTAAAATCTTAAGAAAAAATAAATAAAAAGAACCCAAAAAATTAATTGTAGGCAAATTTTCAGTTTATGGAATATGCTTAGATCGAGCAATATTCGAAAGTCAAAGCCATGAAAGGTGTGGTTAGTTAAAATGGTTGCTCTTGGTGTAAAATTGTTTCAATAAAGGCAAAAACTTGAAATCATAAAGTTGAAATCGATTAAAAATAAAGGTCAAAACTTTTTTCGACGTTTAGTGCTCAAATCAATGCTCGATAAGAAAAAGAAAAGAATAATCTTAAAAAGAGAAAAAAAAATTTAATAAATCTACCTTATGTGAAGGAGTTATTTAAACTTGCAAATGACAGTTTAAGGCTTGGATGACCCAAGCTCTAAGTAACGGATGTAGTGCTAATGTTGTTGACCTGACTAGATTTGGTAGACAATAATCTAATTAAGGGACGATAAGTCAATATTTTCATGTATCTTTAGGTGAAAAGTTGAGAAAGGTGAGCTAACGTGGGTTTTGAGACTTTAGGTTGACTCAGCACGTCAATTTATACTAAAATGACAAAGTTGCGCTTGTATTGTTGATGAGTTGCTTTTTGGAGAAAAAAATCCATAATGTACTTATGACCATAAAATGTCCCTAATAGTTTGTCTTTCTATTAAGTAATCTAAAGTGTCAAACTAATGATAAATTGACTTGGTTGATTTATTACCAGCAAAACTGAGCTATAAGTTAAGCATGGATTTTTTTCAAAGTTTTTGTGGTAAAAAGTGATAAAACTGTCTTTATAACAATCTTGATGTGATCCTTATAAAGGCGAGCCTACCTTTATAGTAATTGTAACTTAATTTTTATAAAATCCCTACTTAAGTGGTGTTGGTGTCCGGATTTTAAGTTTTTTTTTATGTTGCTTATATAATTTGACTAACGCAACACTTGGGTTTTAGACAAATTAGCAATTGGATCATCTAAATTTGTGTTTAACTAAAAAGAGAGAAATTTAAGCAAAAATTAAAAATTTGGGTTGTTCTTTGAATTTGAACGAAAAAGCTAAAGGATCATTCTCGATTTGTGAACAATTATATGGCACAGTCTAGGCCGTTCATTTGATTTGTGACTTGCCATTTAAAGCCTCTTTGAGTTCCTCACTTCCTTACTTTTCAACATTTATGCTTTTTTGCTCTCGTATTGACCTGTCTTTTGTCGATCACAAGCTTTTCCAACTTTTTTTTGTCTGACCTTTCTTGTTTCTTTTTACGTTATTAGTATGTCTCTTAGTAACTACAGTTTTTGGTTCAAATTTATCTAACTTTAAGGTAGAGGTTAGGAAGGGTCAATTCGACCAAGATAGGGTAAAAGTTCTTTTAAATGATGAAGTCTTTTTTATTATTGCAAAAAAATATTATAGTCGAGTTGCTTATTGGTTAAACCCTATGTAAAAAAAAAAAAGCTAAAAACAAATCGAAGAAAATACCCAAACTAAGGTTGAAAGGGTTCTTCATTTGATGGATAAGCTCTTAGCGGTAATAGATTTCGACCTTTAAAATTTCTTATTCCCCAAAATGTAGTTAGCTTGACTTTTCCAATTGACTATCTTTTTTTTTTTTTTTAGGTTATTTCCTCATTAGTTCCTCTATCAATTATCTTTTCTAACCAAACTCTTATTTTTATCAAACCTTTAATGATCCTCCCTAATGCTAAAACCATTATTAGTTTGATTTTAGACTTTAATTCTAGGTCAATATTTGATTTAAATAAGTCTTCTATTTATAGGTCATCTTTGTCTTCCTCTAACGTCATGAAAATCCCTGTTCTTACTTAAACTTAAGGACCTTTTAAGATTCTAGTAGCCAAACAAACTATCAAGAAAGCTTTTGAAACTAGGTAGGTTTAGTGTTCTAAATAGGTTGAAGTTGCCAACCAAGAAGCGAAAGAGGGTGAAGTGATAGAAAGGTAGAAGGTTTTAATAATGATTATGCCTTCATTCATTTCTACATTCATTGTGTCTTAGGTGTCAACCCAAAAGATATGATAAAGAAGGTGAGCTACTCTAAAAAATACCTTAACCTTTATTTAATTTATCATGTCGCTACTGTAAAATATAAGTTTGACTTTCCTTCGGAAGGTTATAAATTAAAATGTTGAAGTTTCAGGATAAGGTTACCAGTGCAGTATAGTCTGACAAGGTATGGATTTACTAAGACTCAATTTGGTCGGTCTTAGATTTCTTTTTTATTTTTTCATTGTTAAACTTTTCTTAGCCTACAATTTGACCATTATTCAGCTTGCATTCAATTCTTTTTGGTATATAATAAGTTTTATCATTCTTTGTAAAAAGTTAAGTTTTCTCCCAATCATACGTCTTTTTAAGAAATTTTTTGTCATTAAGAGGCATCTACATGATAAGAGTTGGTACTATTATAGCTTGTTCCTCAAAAATGATTTTTGTTAATTACCCAAACTCAATAAAAATGTGAAAAGTTCTCTTTTGCTTCATTGAGAAGGTCAAAGGGATTTGAAAAATAAATAAGGAGTCGAGCTTATTTAAAAAGGCTAAAAAAGACATTTTAACCTAAGATGACTCAGGTCATAGGACATAATAAATGATTTCCTTAAATATGAAAAATTAATAATAGATGTGAATGAGTTGACTTCTCTAGTATTCTTAAAGAGGTCAAATACTTGGGTAATTTTCTTACTAACTTCTCACAATAAATATTTTTTATGTTAATATTTTCTAACTCCCAGGCTAGTTTTTTCCTTCAGTTGAAGATATGGCTAGTCAAAAGTCAACAGGTTTTGATATAATCAAATTCATCCAACCTCCAAGATGAAAAAAATAGGGCAAAACTCTTTTTTAGCTTGGTAGCCCATTTAAGGGCATTAAAATCATTGATCCACCACATATTCAGCTCGGTTAGGTCGATGATAAAAGTCTTGTCGCAATGTAAAAAACTCGAACAAAAAGCTATAGCTCAGACACCACAAAAGAGGCTAAAGATGGAGTTATCATCAATTACACATGTCATTAAACTCTTGCCATCCTCTAAAAGGCTTTCCATCACCTTAGAATTTGATTCTTCGAAGAATGCTTATAAATATCCTAAGGCAATGAAGAAAATTACCTGGGCTACCATGGCTAAGAAAAGTTAGTTATATATTAACTTTTATAATCATTAATTATATATATTTTTGTAAGATTCTTTTCTAAGCTTGGTTTCTTTTGTTTGTGCAGTTTTTGGTTAGCTCTCTCAATTTGTTTCTCAAAATATTATTCTGACCCTAGTGCATTTATACAAGGCTCTTACTCACCTTATCAAGATTGACTAGGATATGAAGAATTATTCCATAGTCCTCAACTCTTTCATTGAATTTGTCAAGAAACTCAAGCTTTCTAATGTCAAATACAACAAGCAAATGAAAAGCTCAATAAAAAGGTTAATGGTTTAACATAGCAGCTTGACAATATGTTAGTCCAAAAAACCATAATTGAGTTTTTGCAATAACAATTTGACCTCAAGCTATCTGAAACCTTGGTCAAGGTAAGATGCTTAAAGAGTGAACTTCAAGCTTTCAAAGAAGATGAGCAATGAGCTCTAGACAACTTTATTCAATCTAATAACTTTTATAACATGTAGATTGATTTTGCCCGAGACCAAATTTTAGCTTTTTTGACTTAGCGTTGAAAGAGGTAAAGTGCATTACACTGACCTTGATCTATGATCAATATAAATAATTTGAGGTCATAAGAAGTCATGGCTAATGAAGGAGGCTAAAATGAAGAATAACAGGATGAGGATGACATGGAGATCAATGTTATTGTCATTGCTGTGGTCGAGACTGACCAAAAAGTTGAAAAAGCTAGTGAGAATGTTCAAGCTAAGGTTAAAGGTCATATTGGTGAGCTTAAGGCACCTGCCACCAAGGTGTAACCTAAGGATAAGGCTTGATCTATTTTTTTCATTTTAATTTTATGTAATTTGTAATTATCAATTACTATTAATGAAAAATTTTCTTTCAATCTCTAAGTTCGGTATGCATAATCTAGCATAAGTATTTAATGTTCAACTATACATTTTAGCTTAGTCATTGTAATCATAAAAATTGAGTTAAAGATAAATTTGGCTTATTCCTTACTTTAGGAAAAAAATATAATCAAAATAGTTAAGGTATAATTAGTCAGTTTAACTCTTACTTTAAACAAAATTTAATAAAAATAAGTATTACATATACTCAGACTTCATACTTTATTCACCTCTGAATTCGATTCTATAGGTAAATCAAGTGCTTAAAAATATCTTTGGATTCAAAGCCTTTATAATAAAATTTTAAATTATCTATATTCCACATCCTCGGTATAGGATTTTCATTCAAATCTTATAGTTTTTAAATTCCAAGTTGAACAGCTTCCTTAACTATGTATCGGCTTTCATAGTTTGAAGCCAATATTTTTCCTCGATCATTGATACTGAAAGTTTCAACTTTTTTAAATACCAAATCATCATTGTTAATATCATT